TCCCATTCATAAATAGCAGGAGGGAAAAGCAGAGGAAGTCAAGAATATGTATGCCACTCAGCCCTTAAACATGATTCTAATTATGCTTGTTCCTGTTGTTTTGAGAGAGGAGTGGGTGGGGATGGAATGTTAAGAGCTGTCAGCAGGCCCTCTGCTCAACTGACATGGTTTTGATAGAATGTATGAAGTTGCCAGTGCATTGAGTCAGACGGTCCTTCCATCTAGCTCAATGGGTGGGGAACCTTTTTCCACCCAAGGGCATTCCCTTTGGGGAAACCTTCCAGGTACATTTTACATGGCAGCAGAGGGTGGGACCAGAGGAAAAAGTGGGCATACTTCCCTCTTCATACAATAGTTCCTACACACACATTTCCACACACCCCTCTCTGCTTTCCATCCAGGAAAGCAAGAGGCGTGATCAAAGTTCAAGGCTACCTCCCAGCCAGGCAAAAACGCTCAAGGAGAGTGCAAAGCAGGGTTGGTATGGGGTGTTGCCGGAAGAGGGGTGTAGTTTGGAGAGAGTCCAAGGGCCAAATCGAGAGGCCTGGAGGGCTACATTTGGCCCTCATCCAACTCAATATTGCCTTCTCTGACTGCCAGTGGCTTTCCAGGGTCTTCAGAAGAAAGTTTCCTTCCCCATCATTTTTAGCAAGAGAAGGCAAAATATGAAAGTGGTTTCCCTTGCATGCAAAAGCAGGTGTTCTTCCACTAATCAGGAGAGGATGCTCTCCTGTACACGTTGCTTCCCTCTGCAAAATGATTTTCAAACTGGGAGCCCCTAGGCCATCATCAGTAGCCTTTCAGGAGATCTTCCATGAGTAGACTGTGATGGATGGCAGGCTTCTCAGAAAGATGACTTGCGTGCTACCTCTGATGCGGATGGTCATCTTCACCTGGAATATGCAAGGAGCATTTCCTAATTTCTAGTATGTACACTTGGCAATTCATGCACTATATGTTTAAAGCACATTTGAAGCACTTGACGTCTGCCAAAAGAATCCTACAAATTGTCATTTGCTCCTCAGAGAGATAGAATTACCAGCACCCTTCATGAACTAGAGTTCCCAGGATTCTTGGGGGGGGGGGGGGAGGTCAGCTGAATTCCCTGATGGTACAAGTCATTTGACAGTGGCACAGACTGTCGCAGGAGGCGCAGGCTCTCCTTCATTAGAGGTTTTTAAGCAGTGACTGGATGGCCAACCTATCAGGGATGCCATAGAATCAGAATTCCTGCATTGGCAGAGGGAAAGACAACAGGACCTTCAGGGTCCCTCTAGGATTCTGTGACCTTCGGCACAGTGTTCTACCACTGAGCTGTGGCACCTCCCAGTTTGTCACATCTCACTTCCTCCATCTGATCATCTGAATGGTGTAAAGACAAAATGGCAGCCATCAGGTGGGTGACCCTCCTCTTGGAATGTCGCGGAGCAGTGCACAGCAGTAGCCTCAGAGACTCTGGAGATAAATACCAAAAGCTCCTGTGTCTTGCCCTTGGCTTCTCTAAAACTCCTGTTTGTGTCATGCAAGCAGTTCTCTGGGCTGATCCCGGTAAATGGATGGCCCTCTGTGGCTACCGCCAATGGGCCTAGATTAATAGGACATCTCTTCCAGAAGGACGACTCTTCGACCTCCTTTGACACAACATTATTTTATTGCATTGTGGAGAATAATGTCATGAAGGATGCCAGCGCATCTATCAGCAATAAGGCCAAATTGAATATCTAGGGCCCAGAGAGATGTTAAAGCAGAGAAGGAGGTTGCCAGGAATCAGGAAGCCCATGTTTTCATCTCTTCTCTTTTCATATTGATGTGATCCAGGAAATCAGTGCAAGGGGAAGGTCAAGCTTTTTCTTAGACCCCTGAGCCTGTGCATCTCTCTGGTCAACCTGCAGGAAACCTGGAACAGTGGTGTTCTTTCCTCTGGGTTGATTGGAGAACCACCACAATGGTTGCTTGTTTGCTCTGTGTCTCCCTGGGCCAGAGTGAGATGTGGGTTTGACAAGCAGCCTGCAGTAATGACGAGGAGGAGGAGCTGCAGGGGGTTGTTGTCAGTGGGTCCCCTGATGGAGTGTGGGTCCTCTGCAGGTGCTTGACCATGCTAGCCCTTTGTGCTAGGCAAAGACAAACTGTGGTTCTGACTGTGAGCTGAGAGACAAGAGGCAGAGATTCCTTAGGCTTTAACAGTATACATTATCCCTCACATGCAGGAGGCTGTGGAAGTACAACTGCCAAAGGGCAAGTGCCAAAGGGAACTTCCTCAAAGGAGTTTGGCATTTGTTTGACATCTCCAAAGCAAGAATCTGACCCATCTTAGAGTGTGTCTTTCTACCCTTATTACATCATCACATGAATAGAGAACTCCTTAATAGGCCTGTCTCAGGAGTGAGGAACCTGTGGCCCTCCAGATGTTCCTGGACTCCAACTCCCATCAGCCCCAGCTGGCCAGACCAATGGTCAGGGATGATGGAAGTTGTAGTCCAGCAACATCCAGAGAGCCACAAGTTCCCCAGCCCTTCCCTACCACTACTGTGACTAGCTTACATTGCACATTCAAGTATTTGAACCAAAGGGCTGAAGCATTTGTGAATTGTTTCTTTCCTGTATTGTTCCTTCTATAGCTTAGTGATAAAGCACCTGCTCTGCATAGCGGGGGGGGGGGGGGAGCCAGGTTTCTTTGCTCTGAGTGAAGCCTCCAAAGGGGTGTCATTGAGGCTCCCAGCCTGTGTGTGTGTGTGTGTGTGTGTGTGTGTGTGTGTGTACCAGCAGCACCGGGTATAGGGCCATGCTCCTCATTCCCCACCTGGCACACGAGAGCCAGCATGGTGGGGGCAGGATTCCTGCGCAGCACAGCACAGCACACAAGTGCTCACATGCCAGGTGGGGGAGGGACGTGTCACATGGCACGGTACATGCTGCACACCCCCAATGTGTGTGTGGGGGGTGGCAAGTCGGCGCCCCTGGTGTGTACACAAATGCTTGGGGGGTGGGAGTGCCAAACTGGGTCTTTGACCTGGTGAAATAAAGCCTAGTTTCTCCCCTGCAGAAGGTCTCAGGTTCAACCCTCAGCATCTCCAGGTTGGTTTGGGAATGTCCCTTGCCTGAAACCATGGAGAGCTGCTACCAGGCAATGTCAACAGTACCGAGCTTGATGGACCAATTATCTGACACAGTATAAGGGAGCTTCCTGTGTACCTATACGCTTTGAGAGCAGGGTGGGGTGAGGTGGAGTGGGTGGTGAAAGCTGCAGATTCCCATGCCTTTCTGTGTGCTGGGCAACAGAAATTATAAGGACATTGGACAAGCGGGGGATGGGTTTGGGGAAAAAGAGAGATCCAGGTGGAAACTGTCTCCGCTGGTTGGATGACAGCTAATGTTTGCCAGGGAACAATGCTTTTCCACAGATCCCTTGGGGACTTCCAAGCGAGCCATGGAAAGCCAGCCACGGTGATGAAATTGGGAAGAACTACTATTGTGTGTTCTGTTGGTCCGAGTAAACACAGAGGCCTCTCCCACCACAGGTACACAGATGCTATTTGGACAGCTGCACTGTCCGTTTTGAAGGATAGCGCCTCTTGGCAGCCATCAAGGCTGGCTGGATACAAGGCTCACAGTGAGTCGTAGGTCACCATGGAGACGGTGGAGGCGCTCCCCCCCCCCCGACCGAGCAGCACAGATGGGGGCGGGGGGCATCTTGATGCAATTCAAGGGAACCAAGCAAAGCGTGGTTAGAGGTGAGGCAGACGTGATGTGGCCTTAGCCGCAGAAAGTGCCTGTGTTGCAAGAGCACAAACAAATTCATGGAGATGTGGCTATCAGTGGTTGCTAGCTCTTGTGGCTGTGCTGTGCCCCTGACAGCGTGCCTCTTGATGCTAGTTGTTGGGATTCACAAGTGAGGATAGTTACTGTCATGCTCAGGTCCTGCTTGTGGACTTCATGGAGGAAACTGGCTGGCCATTGTGAGAACAGAAGGCTGGACTAGATGGGCCACTGGTCTGGCCCAGCAAGACTCTTCTGATGTGCTAATGAGGTGTCCAGCCCTGCTCTGGAGTTGAAAGGAACAGTTGCAAAATAGCAATTGGCTCTCAAATGAATTCTTCTTAAAATGATGATGGCGGCTCAGATTTATGCTGAGGAAATGTGGTGTGTGCTAGGATCTTGCAATCTATACCAGGCTGTAGGAGAGGGAGATGGATGGTATTCTATGGCCCCTCCAGCCGCTTTATTGAAACACCAGCTCCATCAACCCCCTCCCAACTGTCATCTCCATCAGCTATTCATAGAATCATTGTAGAGTTGGAAGGGACCCTAAGGATCATTTAGTCCAACCCCCTGGCATCCATGACAGATGGCCATCCAACCTCTGCTTAACAACCTCCAACGAAGGCAATGCTGGCTGAGGCTGATGGGAGCTGCAGTCCAAAGCATCTGGAGGACACCAGATTTATTTATCAGATTTCTATCCCTACCTTTCCTCCCAGGAGCAAAAGGTGGTGGCATACAGGGCATTTCCTCTCACCATTCCAGTCCCACAATGACACGTCAGGCTATAGGAGAGGGAGAGAAATGAGGTGGCCAAGCCTCTCTGCATCCCCTCTGCTGAAAGACCAGCAATGTTTGACTCCCAGCTCTCCTTGAAATGGTTCCATTGTAGCTGCTCTTTGCAAGAACTCTGTAACTAAGTGCCTAAGTTTGCTTTCCCCTTATTCCATCCGAATCTCCTTTCCTTTCAAAGTGTAAACCTAAGGGCAGGGTCTCTTTTATTGAATGACATTTCCAAGCTATTCTGGGATGCTTTTTTGGGAGCAGGGTAGAAATGTTTTAAGTAATTACTTCCAGGAAAAACAACAGAAGCTTAATGGGAAAGGCAATATCTGGGTAATATTTAAGGAGTAATGTAGGGAAAGAGTGGGGTGGGGAAAGGATCATGCAAACCTGGGTGGATGTCAAAATTCTGGACATTGAGTTCAGATTCCTGCTTGCCCATAAATATCATTGGGAAAGGCTGTAGCTTGGTAGTAGAGCACCTGCTTTGCATGCAGAAGGTCCCAGGTTCAATCCCAGGTAGGGCTGGGAGAGACCCCTGTCTGAAGCCCTGGAGACTTACTACCAGTCAGGGTAGACCACACTTAGCTGGATGGACCACTGATTTGACTCCATATACGGCTGCTTCGTATCATGAGTGGCCTGCTGTTCACCAACCAACCTGGCTCCACAAGACATGATGGAAGGAGAGATAAAGTCAGGGATGTTGTTGTAGTTGCATCTTGTGCTGAGCAGAAGCGTTTGGCTAGATGGCCTCTAGGATACCATTCCACTCTAAAATGTTATTAATCTCGCAGGTTCCAGTTAAAATAGTGTGTGGACAACCGTACTGGAGTCACCCCTGAACTTTTCTTTCCTTGCTGTATTTACTTAATAACAGCCTGTCTCCTCACTGGTTTCAGAATCACAAGAGTATAGACCCCAAATAGACAACATATAGGAGACGTGACTGGGTTGGTATTGTCTACATCAGGGGTCAGCAAACCTTTTCAGCAGGGGGCCGGTTCACTGTCCCTCAGACCTTGCAGTGGGCTGGACTATATTTTTTTGGGGGGGAGAGAACGAATTCCTATGCCCCACAAAGAACCCAGAGATGCATTTTAAATAAAAGCACACATTCTATTCATGTAAAAACATGCTGATTCCCGGACTGTCCGTGGGCCAGATTGAGAAGGTGATTGGGCCTCATCTGGCCCACGGGCCTTAGGTTGCCTACCCATGGTCTACTCTACATTGACTGGCAGCTACTCTCCAGTGTTTCAAAAAAGAATATTTCACCTCCTTTCTGAAATAACAGCTTTCCTGGCCTCTTTCCTGCTAATTTACTCCTTTGATAATAGTCCCAGCAAATCAGTTTTGGATTACCAGTACTTCTGAGCAGACCTCCATGGCATTGGGAATTCTAATCTTTACTCTGAATTAATTAGCACTAGGGGTTTTGGGCTCCGCCTCCGCCCAGTCTTGGCCCAATCTCCGCCCACTACCAGCATGTTGTCCCCAAGGGATGGTCCCCAGAGAATGTGGCCTTTGATTACAAAAAGGAGCATACCTAATACCAAATCAGACTGTGGGCCCATCTAGCTCAGTAGTGTGGTAAGGATTTACTTCTACACCACCTTGTTCTTACTCAGGCGAGGGGCTACATTTTAATCAAAACACGGAACCAAGGAAATTAATTCAAGTCCAGTGTCCAGGAGGGATCCAGCATTTATTATAGCTATTGCAGTAGAGCAGAGCTCACCTTAATGTGGTTGTTCAAGCCAAATCGCCAGGTAAGAGGGAGCCTGCCTGGAGGAGAATTAGAACAAGAGTTTTATTGGCAAAGCACAATAGAGTAATAAAACATCTAAACGTTTTAAAAACATAAACATCCCTCTTCATACATCAGGAAAGGTCACACATGGCTCCATATTGGTATCTTCACCCTTCAATCGCTTTGGAGTGCCCCAAATGTATCCAGGCCATTTGGTCTCAAAGGTCGTACTTCCATCACTGTTCTTTTGGCAAGCAGCCCTCATCGGGCTGTTGACATTGCTTCCTTTATCTAACTTCCCTTGCTTCTCCTTTTCTCCAGGAAGCTTCAAGGTGTGTTTTTAAAAACAAAAAACAAAAAAACACTCCAGTGCTGGAGGGTCATTTGTGCCACTTTCAAGGTCAGATTGGAAAGGAATCCTGTGTCGGAGTCATAAAATGCAGGCACACATCAAGCCTAATACATTCTAGCCAAAGGTTCAATACAATTAAAAGTGAAACACGGAACCATAATTAAAATAAAAAATATACACATTGGGTCTCTAATTCTTATATCAGTAGTGCCTACACTGACTGGCAGTGGCTTGCCAGGATTTCAAATGGGATATTCCCAGCTCTCCTTTGAGATGGAAGGGATCAAACCAGGGAACTTCTGCATGCAAAGCTGATGCTCTAACTACTGAGCTATGGCCCTTCTCCAACATAGGAAGCTGCATTATAATGATTTGGACCACTGGTCCATCCAGTTCAGTGTTGTCTACACTGGCCAGCAGCAGCTTTCCCGATTTTAGAAAGGAGTCTCTCCCAACCTGGAGATGCCAGGGATCAGACATGGGACTTTCTGCATGCAAGGTATATGAGTATGTACCTTCTTGGAAAGGTTGCCCATCCCTGTTCCATGGAGTCAATAATTGGCCCATGTAGGCCAGTATTGCCTGTTCTGACTGGCAGCCGCTTTTCATTATCACAGCCAGGAGACTTTCACATTACCTGCTATTATCTGATCCTTAAAAACAGAGGTTCTGGGGACAGAATAAGGGATACCTTCTGCACAAGGCAAGGCACACAGATGCTCCACCTCCAAGCTATTATTTTGTTCCACCAATATTTGTCTGTGATTCCCTGTTCTTCTATTTGAGGAGTCCCTGGCAATCCTCCAAGGAACACCACACTGTTCTATGGGAAGCACATTGAAAAGCACCGTCACAGATTCCTGGTTTTGGTCCACCATTGTCCCTCTTGGATCTGAATACCTGCAGAGGGATCATTTCAAAACTGCCCGATGTTGCTGTGTTGTTACCGTCTTGCTTTTTGCATGGGAAGTATTTAGATTAACTGGTTCTGTCCTCTTTACTAATGTGGGTGGAGGAAGAATGGGTGGTGGTGTTGATTTGGGAACTGGTGGCCAGGACAACGAATGCTATTTTCATTCTTCCAGCCTCTCTTGTCTACCCGCTCACTCCCCCCCCCACGCCCCCGTGTTTGGCAACTGTTCCTTGGAACCTCTTGCAGAATTTTGTAGAATCCTCCAGCTGGCCTCCAGTGAAATGCCAAGAGTGAGAAAGCTTAGAAGACCGGCTCAGCCAGTGACACTTAATTTGAAGTGTCTGCCTAGCAGCCAAGAAAGCCACAAACATACCAGGAGGCTGGCAATTCTTTTGCCCTAGCAACGTTGGGCTGACCCCTGAGGCAAAGGTAAAGCTTGAAGAAGAACAAGAGGGGTTTTAGGAAAGTGTAACTCTTGGGCTGTCATTCGTCCAGATTTTCCTAGGATTTCAAAGGCAGAATTGACCTCTGGGGGAAATTTCAAAAGGCAGCACTTTGTCCTGGATCTTAGGCAAGTCTATCAAAAATTCGTGATTTTTGATGTTTTTGAAATATGGCAACCCTAGCTAAACCCCTTGCTTGCTTGTCAACAATTGCATACCCTCCAAAATTTCTCTGATGGAAATAGAGACATTCTATTCTACACCAGGAAGCTTCTCCCACGTTTGATCTCACCGCTCACATAGATGTCATATACATGCATACAACTGCCGCCTTGAGCCAATTACAACCTCTCAGCTTCACCTACCTCACAGGATTGTTGTAAAGAGAAAATGTGTGAGGGAAGGGATCATGTAGAACACCTTCAACAGATAAATGGAATTAAATAGAATTCTAGCTGTAAGCTTCCTTGAGTCCCTGTCAGCAAAAAAGGCAGGTAATAATAATAATAATAATAATAATAATAATAATAATAATAATAAACAACTATGGGAATAATCAGGAACATACCAAAGAGTAAATCCTGTGGAACTTAGTGGGACTTAGTTCTGAGTAAAAATGCTTCAGATTGCAGTGTAAGACTGCACAGTCTTTACCCAGTTACCTGGGAGTAAGCCCTATTGAATACAGTGGGACTTCCTTCTGAGTAGACAGTGTAAGACTCCATTTGCAATAAAGAAATGACCATTCCATGCATTTCTTAAGAAATGGCTCACTGAAGCATTGCAATTAAACAATTTAAAGTGGATTGGTGACTTTTCTTTTAAAATTATAGGGAGGGCTTTGTATGCCAGCTTCACCATTTCCTTCAATTGGTGCATGTATTTTATTTTCAGCATAAACAGGACTCTGTTTTTGTCCGAGCGCGCACACACACACCACTTTTAATTGTTCTCCCATGTAAGTATCCAAGCAAGATTGTTGATTATAAGATGTATGTATGAATTCAGAGGCAGTATGTCTTGGAACGCCAGTTGCTGAGAATCACAAGTGAGCAGAGTGCTGTTGTGCTCAGGTTCTGCTTTTGGGTTTCCCATTGGGATATTTGCATTGGCCACCGTGTGTGCAGGATGCTGGATTAGATGGGCCATTGGCCTGATCCAGCAAAGACTCAGCTTAAGTTCCACCTCCACTGTGGGAACACGAGGCTGGACTAGGTGGACCTGATCCCCACGTTCTTATGTTATTTTGTTTACCTCCAGCTTTTGTTTTGTGGAAGCTAGCATCCCTTGCCTCTTACCCTCCGAACTGCTAGGGAACATTAGCTGCACTGGGGGCTTTTCTTACCTTATTTTGCTCACCCATTTCCTCTGATCCTCCTCTCTTTACTGTGGAACAGTCTTGGATGGTTCCCCCCCAGCTGCCTCTGATTCTTGTTGCCAGAAGTGGAGCCACAAGAGCAGCTTGCTTTTTTTGATACAGCCTGGAAGAAACCACTTTCTTTAATTTCTGCTGGATGAACAAAAAATTAAAGAATTTGGCATATGGATAAAGAGAGTCAATGTGCTTTGCAGAGTAGTTTGCCCAAGAGAAGTGGATTTTAAAGAGCAGCTGGAACGATCTACACATCAGAAAACGGTCTTTTGTGAGCAGGGAAATACTGTGTGTGTGCGCAGAAGCACTGCCTGATGCTTCCACAGCATAAAAGCTAGAAACCTGATTTATTTATTTATTTCTGAGGACTGATACTGATTGGTTTTTTAAAAAGCTGATTAGTTAGATTGACTGTTTTTTTTATGAAGATGTTGTTTTATTTCTTTCAGTGATGCTCTGTTCAATTTCGCTTGAATTATGCATTGCCCTGGGGCACTAAAGGCTGGTGTTAAAAGAAATAAAAACATATATATATATATATATATATATATATATATATATATATAAAATTGCCCTAAACGCTTTAGCTGACAAATATACCAATTTTTAATTGGTTGAAGCTTGTAAAAAACAAGTCAGTTGCAGGATCCACCCACAGTCTTTAAGCTGACTGCAATCTCTCTCTCTCTCTCTCTCTCTCTCTCTCTCTCTCTCTCTCACACACACACACACACACACATTCTCAGCCCCAGACACCCTGCTAACAATCCACTGACAAACTTACAAATCCTTCAGTTCATCACTCAATAATCAAGGTTCTTCATGTTGCCAAAACTGCCTTAGGCTGTACCAGCCACCATCAGAAACTTGGCCTTAAGTGCAAATGAAGGATAAAGAGATGAGCAGGCGGGCAGAACGTCAGGGATTGTCCGTCTGTTGCCGACTGCACACAGATTGCTCTGCGATTGATAGATGGATGGGCAGAGCTGAGTTTCAGAAATGGCTAATGATCAAGGAGGCTTCCTCCTCCAAAAGGGTTAACGTGGATCTTTTTAATTGTCAAAAGAGCTCCGGGCTATTAGGGTTGGCATATTCTTCAATAATCTGTTTTATTTTTACCTGCTGGGAGCTTAATTAAAAAACAAAGAGGCTCAATTTAAAGCCCATTACTATGCTAATTTTGTAGGAACTGGGCTGCGATTAAGAAGCTTTAAAAGGGGGAGTTTAGTTTGCCCTGGGGGAATGGGTTGGAGGCCGTTTTGATTTCGTTTCATTAGCTAGCTACAATTATTTATAAACTAAATGGAAATCATGATATTAAAGAGTAATAAAAAAAACCTAGTGCCTATGTATTATTGAGTAGCGGAAGTTTCTCCTTCCCTCACCCCTCCCTTTCCCGTTTTTTAATTTAGCATCAAAACGTGCCCGGTCTTTATTACTGTGACTTGCAGTTAACACAGCTAAATGCAGTTGTTAAATATAAGACGCCTTTTATATGGGCCCATAAATTCAGAGCTGTCTGCTCTGCCTTCCCTATAGATCACATGAATAAGTTTATAAAGACATCAACGTGACAATAAAGATGAAGCGTGAGCTGTTTGGGCACAGAGTTTTATGAGACTGTAGTCAAGGAAGTCTTTTAACTGAGAATAAATTATTTTAAGATGCATGGTTTGTAAGACAGGGTGGGTTTGGGGATGGATGCAGAAGAGGCAAGCCTGCAATTGCATTTGGCCAAAGAGCCAAGCAGGGGTTGATAGCATATATATATATATATATATATATATATATATATATATATATATGAATCTCAGTATATCAGGAATATAGTAAGTTGCCTTACCTTGGGTCAGAACATTGGTCCATCTAGCTCAGGCCAAACTGACTGGTAGCAGCTGTCCAGGGTTTCAGACTGAGGTCTGTCCCAGCCCTGCCTGGAGATGCTGGGGATTGAACCTGGGACTTTCTGCATATGAAGCCGATATTCTACCACTGAGCTATATCCCTTCCCAGGTGCATAGGAAGCCTTGGTCTATCTAGCTAGGTGTAGTCTACACTGACTGGCAGCAGGTCTCCAGTGTTTCAGTCTGGGGTCTCTCTCCGCCCTACCTGGAGATGCTAGGGCTTCAACCTTGGTGGTATTATTATTATTATTATTATTATTATTATTATTATTATTATTATGCCCTATGTGGAGGAACCGCCTGCACTATCCTAAATCTAGCACTCCATCTGGAGTGTTACCCAGGCATAAATGCATGTATTAATAGAAGGGTCAGATTTGTGTAACTAACACAGTTCATAAGTTGAGGATGTTGGAGAATAGTGGATGCTGACTGAGAGTGAGAGTAATGCCACATAGGTCTGTTACACATGTTATGCTGCTGGACCAGAGAGGTGTTGCAACTGATATCCTCTGATTTCTTTATATATAATTGTAATGTGGATTGGAGATTGTCTAGCTGTCAGGAGCAAGTGGGCCTAGAACTAGCAACCTCCTGAGCTCTGTCCAGCTTTCCACTAAGGTTCCCCTAGAGCAGTGGTTCCCAATTGGTGGGGTTGCACTTCTATCTTCCAGCATAGCTCTGCCCACCTGGGCAGCCACTGGCTCCCTTGCATTTGACCTAGTTCTAAATGCTTCCAGGGAAAAGCTGGAATTTGGCTCCGTCTGTATGATTGTTTGGGCGCCATCTTATCTGTGGCTTTCTTTTTTACTCTTCTGCCTTTTCTATTCCGCAGTGCATACATCTTTCTGCCTGTTCAGACGTTTTGTAAATTCTGCCACTGCTGTTCCTTCTGAGCTGTGATCCTGTACCAGAGATGGGGCACCTCAGGCCTGGCGGACCAGTTGTGGTCCTCGTGGCTTCTCTGTCTGGCCCTTCGAACTCCTCGTAGAATTATAGAGTTGGAAAGGACCGTAAGGGTCATCTATCCTGCAATACAGGAATCTTTCGCCCAATTTGGGGCTTGAACCCACAACTCTGAGATTAAGAGTCTCATACTTTACTAACTGAGTTCACCCCAAGCCACATACCCTTGAGAGAAGCATTCTATTGCAACCAATAAAATTGGTCAAAGAAATGAAGACACCTGAAGTATGAAGGTATCTGAAGAAGCGTGCATGCACATGAAAGTTTATACCAAGAACAAACTTAGTTGGTCTCTAAGGTGCTACTGGACAATTTTTTTATTTAAATGAGTTTGGGTCTAGTTGCAGAGCTGCCTCAGGGTACAAAAGGTCATATGATGGACAACATTGGTTTGTTTAAAGGTGCATTTGAGGTGAGGTATCTGTGTTAATTATGACTCCAAGAATCACCTGTTTGCATCCTTCCCATAACAGAACACACATACCCCACCTGAAGAAAGCTAGCCTGCCAAGAAATCTTGCCTTCTCCCTGAAATGCTATTTTTCTGCATGAGGGAGAGGTTCCTGCTTTAAAGGTAGAAAAGGCATTCAAATATGTGATCCCTCACATGCATTCAGGAGTGTTCAGCAGCTATGCACTTGTGGGACAGGGAGGGGAGGGAGTAGCTGTTCCAACTGACAGTTAGGCGTATGAACCTTCAAGAACATGAGTTTAAAGTCAAATCGGTCAAAGGACTGAGCCTGGGCCTAGCCTCAGAGGTGCCTCAGGGTATGAAAGGTCATATGATGGAGGGGTTTTCAAAGTAGTGCATTTGGGGGCTGGGCAATTGTTTGAAAAGGCTAACTGGGAAGCCCGAGGTCTTTCAGATGTCCCACCCCCACCCCGTCCCCCTGAGCTGCCGCCTGACCTGGCCTACACCTTCACATTCTTCCTTTCATGACTGACACAGTGGGTATGTGCCTCCAGGCAGCCGGTGAGCTTGCCATGGCTCCTGCATCAAAGCAACTGTTTACAGATGGTTTGCGTTGGATGCCCCATAAACAGTATTCTTTTTGTCTCCGAAATAAAAAGCAGCTTAAGCCCTTAATGATAAGGATTTTTTTTTGGTGCTTTGCAAGCCAAGGAGGGTGAGCCGGCGGCTGGCTTAGCCGGCCGGAATGTGCCTCTGTGCACTCCCTGCAAAAACCCTTTTGTTCCTGCCTTTGCAGATTCTGAAGTGGGGAACATCTTTAGGAGCAAATCAGCAACAGCGTGCAGCGAAACCTTAAGATTCTGCACTTTTATAGGGCCCTAATCGGCTCAAAAGGGACGCGGGTGGCGCTGTGGGTAAAAGCCTCAGCGCCTAGGGCTTGCCGATTGAAAGGTCGGCGGTTCGAATCCCCGCGGCGGGGTGCGCTCCCATTGCCCAGTCCCAGCGCCTGCCCACCTAGCAGTTCGAAAGCACGTCAAAGTGCAAGTAGATAAATAGGGACCGTTTACTGGCGGGAAGGTAAACAGCGTTTCCGTGTGCTGCACTGGCTCGCCAGATGCGGCTTTGTCATGCTGGCCACGTGACCCGGAAGTGTCTCCGGACAGCACTGGCCCCCGGCCTCTTGAGTGAGATGGGCGCACAACCCTAGAGTCTGCCAAGACTGGCCCGTAGGGCGGGGGGGGGGGTAATCGGCTCAAAAGGCATTCTGTGGTTGTTGCTTTTTCCAAGGGGTGGGGTGGTTCCTCTGGGCTTTACCACCTGCATAGGCTCTTGATGGGTGGAATTCTGGTTGCCTTGTCTCAAAAAGTAGATTATGAAGAGCTGGGGAACTGCAGATGAAGGCAATCAGAACAATCCCGGAGTTGCAGAATCTTCCCTACAAGTGTTTGAGAGAACTTCCAGACCCTGTTTGCTGAGCATTTGGCCTGATCTGTTTACAGGGAGATTAGACTGACACTGGCTATTTAATATGTGTCCACTCTGATTTGTTTACGTGGAGGTTAGATGATGGTTGCATCAAAGCAAGGGTGAGCCCCAATTTCCAGTGCATCTCTCCATCCCTTTCCTTATTGGAAAAAGTCCGATCTATTGGGCAACTGGGTTTGTTAAGAATGTAAGATGAGCCAGCTGGGTCAGGCCTATGGCCCATCTAGTCCAGCTTTCTGTTCTCACAATAGATGACCAGATGCCTGTAGGAAGTCAACACGCAGGACCTGAGCACAAGAGCACTCCCCCCCTCTGGCAAGTTCCACCAACTGGTATTCAGAAGCATTTCTGCCCCAGCTGTGGAGGAAGAGGAGAGCCTCTGTTGTAGCTAGCAGTCACTAATAGCCTCATATTCCATGACTTTGTCCCATCATCTTTTAAAGCCACCCAAGCTAATTGAGTAAGATTACCCTGTCAGCTTTCATTGCACCACTATAGTTTGCCAGTATCTGACCAAATCCTGCCAGAAATTAGTGACAGTCTAACAGGGGTAGGCAACCTAAGGCCTGTGGACCGGATGCGGCCAAATAGCCTTCTTAATCCGGCCCGCGGACAGTCCGGGAATCAGCGTGTTTTTACATGAGTAGAATGTGTGCTTTTATTTAAAATGCATCTCTGGGTTTTTTGTGGGGCATAGGAATTCGTTCACCCCCCCAAATATAGTCCGGCCCACCACATGGTCTGAGGGATGGTGGACTGGCCCATGGCTGGAAAAGGTTGCTGACCCCTGGTCTAAAAGTACCATTAGAATATTCCCTGTTACACTCCTAGAAGTGTTTGCTCAGATGTTAGGAGCCGTTGTATTGAATGGGAATGGCTCTCACATATAAGTATGTGGATTTAGCCCATAATACGAAGAAGCCCTATTGAATCTATGAAGACTCAACAACTTCAATCATAAAAAAAGTCAACAACTTTGGTCGGCCCTCTGGTCGGCCCTCACAGCTCTTCACTCTATCAAATCTGGCCCTCTTTGAAAAAAGTTTGGACACCACTGAGTTATAGGATTGTATTTTGCACCATGATGTGAATGGGAAAATCCCTCTTCATTCACTCTGGGGGTCCCAATAAAAAAAGATTAGCCTCTGAGTCATGGCAGAGGGTGTTTTCACAAGTGTCAAATGTCATTTGCGCTAAACTGGTGGGTTTCTAAAAGTAGATCTGAAAGAGTAGATCCATTTGTAAATCCAATACATGTACTAGCAAAGACAGATCTTGTAACTTCACCAGGAAACCATTCAGAGTGGAAACAGAATCCCTGTGCAGACTCACATGTGTGCGAGTGAGTGGAAATCTTCAGCATTTGGACGACGGAAACACTTTTACAAATGGTGTGAAAGCTTAATATGCTCTTGAGAACGCGCAACCTCAATTTGCTGGCATGTGATTCAATCTCACCTGAAAACAACAGTGGGCGGGAAGTGCACTGGGTTTAGAGCAGAGAGGACTGAAGGGGGAAAGCAGCAGGCGGTGTAGCTAATTAATAATATTTGTATATCCTGCTTTAAAGCCCCAATAAGCTCTCAAAGAGGCTTACGGAAGATCCTCACAATAATTAGGCACAGAAATAGCATTATAAACCACTTTGAGGGTATTGTTTCTGTTTTCATTCTTTTATAATCAAGCGGTGTATAAATTTTATTAATGAAAGAATGAATGAATTAAATAGCATGGTGTTTCCCTGGCGCCATGATTATTCATGTGGCATTTCACATGCTCATTTTTTTTAAAAAATCCAAGACTTTGGGTTATTCCCCTTCGTCCTCTGCATTGTAATCAATAGCTCTCACTGATGCCCTCAGTGATAAGGGAAAGGACCTGAGCATCTCAAACTTGCTCAGCCAGCAATTGGTGTTGGGGGTGTGTGTAGAGATAATGTGTCCCTCTCTCATAATACCAGAATTTTTTGTCATCCAAGCTGATTGGCAAGGAGATTCAGAATAGGCAAGAAAAAGAACAAGGTGAGGAAACTGCCTCAGGTGGTCAGATCCACAGGGGCAGTAAATCCCAATATAGATCTGACCACCTGCCCCCGCTTATTCCTGATATAGATCTTCATTTACCGCTTCTCTCTCTGGTGGGGAGGGAGGTGTGAATTTGTGGTTCGCCTCAGGCTTTAGACAAATCCATGATGGAACTCTTAATGGGTACTGACAATGATAGCTAAATAGAACCACCAGTTTCGGGGGCAGCATACCTGTGAGTATCCAGTTGCTGGGAACAAACAACAGAAGATGGGCACCATTTCAAGCCCAGTGTGTGGGTTTCCTGGAAGTGTCCAAATGCTACTTGTGCCGTGTGTTCATTTGCTAGCCCTGCTCAAACACTCTTTGATTGACTCGAGTTTTGCAAACTGACAAGGCTAATGATCTTCCAACTAAGGCTGTGGTAGACTGCATTCTGGGTTAAAAATCATTGTTATGAAGAGATTGCCTCTGGGCACACACAGAGTGTCTTTCCCTTAAAAGTGAGAATAACAGCCCTGTTTAGGGAAGTTTTTCATGACTGATGTGTTAATGTATTTTTAATATTTGTTGGAAGCCGCCCAGAGTGGCTGGGGAAACCCAGCCAGATGGGCAGGATATAAATAATAAATTATTACAGTGGTACCTCGGGTTACAGATGCTTCAGGGTACAGACTCCGCTAATCCAGAAATAGTACCTCGGGTTGAGAACTTTGTTTCAGGATGAGAACAGAAATCGAGCGGTGGCAGCAGTGGGAGGCCCCATTAGCTAAAGTGGTACCTTAGGTTAAGAACAGACCTCCAGAATGAATTAAGTTCTTAACCTAAGGTACCACTGTATTGTTGTTGTTGTTGTTGTTGTTGTTGTTGTTATAACAACAAAGAGTAACAGGTGTCATACATCTAGGATCGGCAGGTAGAGCTTTCGGGTCAGATGGTGGTGCGAGTAGCAGGCAATTTGGTAACTCTCAGTGGTTCGGAGGTTTTGCATATCTCTACTGTAGAAGAAGGGGACGCGGGTGGCGCTGTGGGTTAAACCACAGAGCCTAGGGCTTGCCGATCAGAAGATCGGCGGTTCGAATCCCCGTGACGGGGTGAGCTCCCATTGCTCGGTCCCAGCTCCTGCTAACCTAGCAGTTCAAAAGCACCTCAAAGTGCAAGTAGATCAATAGGTACCACTCCAGCGGGAAGGTAAACGGCGTTTCCGTGCGCTGCTTTGGTTCGCCAGAAGCGGCTCAGTCATGCTGGCCACATGACTTGGAAGCTGTACGCTGGCTCCCTCGGCCAGTAAAGTGAGATGAGCGCCGCAACCCCAGAGTCGGCCACGACTGGACCTAACAGTCAGGGGTCCCTTTACCTTTACCTTACTGTAGAAGAGGAAAGCGACTTTTGAAACTTGCCTCTTCAGCAAGTGGTTGCAATTTTGTTCCTGGATGACTAATACAATAAGGACTGTATGAACATGTTAAATAACTAATTTCATGAATTTGAGTTGACATTTCATGCCTGAAACTGGGTCAGACCTTTTGGAGATAATAATGACCTCCTTCTTGCATACTTCAGGAGCTTTTTCCCTTTTTTTAGGCAGGATTAGTTGTGATTATTTGGACGAAATGAGGCAGGAATAACAGCAGCTTTAGTATGCATTTGGATTTCACATGCAGGTTTCTCCATGGGGTTGTTCTCAGCGTGTGCAATCAACCAGTGGAAAAAAACTTCTAAGCCAATATTGATGTTTTTGGTGAAAGGTGCACCGGCTGGCTTACGGTTCTTGGCTTATCGGCAAATCTGTAAATACAGGTGTGGACTGTCCAATTTGCTAAATCTCCAGAGCAAACACAGATGCTGCAATGTAGAGAGACGCCTGGCCCATCTCCTGGTCTTTTATTCTCGATAACTACAGGTATTGAAGTTGACATATCACACGCTTCAGCTCTCCCTGTTTATGAGGGACAATCCCTGGTTCCTGGTCTCCAAGAAATTACTGTCCCCCTTTTTATGGATGGCTTATATTAAAATGTTTGTTTAGAGTGAGTTCCTGGATTTGCCATTCTTCAGAATCTGATCCTTCCTTGCTGCAAACACACCGTGAAGGTGTATCCAATGTCAGGCATGCTCAGAGTAGACCCATTGAAACAGATGGACGTGACTAACTGATGTTCGCTAATTTCAGCGAGTCTACTCTGAGAACTTAGTTGGAGACAACTGCACATGTTTAAAGCTTATGGCTTTCCATAGAGAATCCTGGAATCAGAAATTTACCCCACCACAGTACTCCAAATCCCAGCAGCCTTAACAAAATGATAGTTCCCAGAAAATAATGAGCTTTAAATATATGATGTGTATTCAGCCCACATCTCTGGGTAAGGAAAAATCTAGGTTGGTGAGTGGATGTATTTTGTACATGAATTTATAGTCAGAATGAACATTGGCACATTGAGTCTGACCCTGAAAGTCATCTAGCTTAAGTTCCCTGTTCAGTCAAGATCTTCCATGCAGAACACAATCCATGTCCCTGAAGGAGGAATGTCCAGGCCTGGTTTAAACAACTTCCAGTGATGGAAAACCTGCCACTTCCTGATCCATCTGCTCCATGGTCACAGGACCATAGGCTCACTGGTCCATCTCAGCATTGCCTACACTGACTGCAGCAGTTTTCCTGGGTTTCAGACAAGGTTCTTTCCCAGCCCTACCTGAAGATGCCAAGGATTGAACTGGGACCTTCTGCATGCAAAGCAGATGCCCTTTCACTAAGCTGTGGCCCTTCTCCAAACAGCTGTTACCATTTAGAAGAAGGGGCCACTTTATATGCTGCCATTCCACAGATCCAACTCAAAAAAACCCCAATTAAAGTAGGCCAGGACAGGCTACTGCAAAACAAGCAAAACTGGGCAGAGCTGAGGCCAAATGTAGCTGCCTTGAGCATGATTGAATAGAAAGGGCATAGATGCACCCTGATGAAAGATAGGGCATTACTATTAAAAATAGATAGATAGCGCATCTATCTATCTATCATCTATCTATCACATGGGTTGTGTCCAATGCTAGTCTTTCACAAAGTAGGCCCAGTGCACATAGCTAATGTAAGTCCATTAATCTTGTATTAATGTGTATTTTAGGAGAAACCCAAACTGAAATACTGGTGGATTTTCACGAAGCCTTTTTAAACAACAAATAGGCTTATAAACTGATGTGAACTTGGTGGAGAACTGGGTTTAAGTTTGGGGAGGGCATGAGAAACTGAAAGAAACCAAAACGGACAGATTTCCCTGTTCCCTAGCTCTGGGTTCTCATTAGTTTCGAGTCCAGTTCATATTTAGAGGATGCTTAAGGATGCAAAGAATGAGAGAAAGTTGTTGCTGGGGAAGTATAGGAGAGAAAATGTAGGCCTGCTCAACATTCTCAGCTCAAGCCTATGGACTAATCTTTCTGCTGTTTGCTTTTTTTGGTGGTGGTGGGTTGTGATGGTAAAAGAAAACACTTTCCTTTGTAACAAGGAGGTTGTTAAGAGAAGGTATGCGGTTCTCATACATCCGGCAGAGGAACCAGGGGGCAGATCCTTCACTGTTTCACATTTGAAGGCATTCTTGTAGCACCGTCTTCGCACCCCAGGGATAGCTGCTTAAGCACTAGCTCTTTCTTGACCCCCATCGCACCAGCAGTTCATTGCATTAATTTACTCTTTTAAGAACCTATCTGGCACTGACTGGGGTGTTAGTAAATGAAGCCTAGCAGTTTCCTTGTTTCAGAACTGTGAGTTGTATATGCTGTTAGCCATACGCAGAGTGGAGGACCCATTGAAATTTATGGATATGGGTCTGCTCTGAGAGAAACACAGTGGGCTGAAACTCAGAAGGTCTACTTCAGCTCACAATAGCAATTGGTCATACTTGCAATAGAAAAGCTATCAAATGCATTCATTGTACAGTGGTACCTCAGGTTACATACGCTTCAGGTTACGTACGCTTCAGGTTGCAGACTCCGCTAACCCAGAAATAGTGCTTCAGGTTAAGAACTTTGCTTCAGGATGAGAACAGAAATCGTGCTCCGGTGGCACGGCGGCAGCAGGAGGCCCCATTAGCTAAAGTGGTCTTCAGGTTAAGAACAGTTCCAGGTTAAGAACGGACCTCCGGAACGAATTAAGTACTTAACCCGAGGCACCACTGTATTAACTATTTTCTAGGGAAAAGGGTGCTGGTACTCACGCTGCCCAGGGAATTTCTAGCAAGGTGGGGGATGAAGGAGGAGGAGGGGAGGGAGGGAGAGCAGGGCATACATTGAACCTTGGGCACCAGCAAGGCTGGGCAAAGTGAAGCAGAAAGGAGAAGATTTGTCTGGGGTGGGGAAGGCAACTCTGATGCCACTGTCCTGTCTTGCCTCTCCTTGCTCGCCTTGCTGCCACCAGTCCAACAAGGAGTGTGGTGTGGGCTGGGAAAGGGGGTCGTGCTCAGAGCTCCTGGGGCTTTCCTCTCCTTCCACTCTGCCGCCAAGAGGATGGAGAGGAGGCCAGGAGCTGCGCTGGAGGTTGGAAGCCTCTGGGGCAGCCCAAGCCAGTACTGGGTGTGCTCCAGGCTGAGGAGAGAGGCTCCTCCTGCCCCTTTCGGTGGCTCCTCTTGGGGCCTCCATCCACATCAACTCAGGGCAAGGAAGGGGCGGCAGCTCAGCCTCTGGTTTCCTGCCCTCTCCAGGTCCAGGCTCAGGGCCCAGCAGGTCATGCCTGTGGGACGGGGTGGAAAGTTGGACCATCTCCAACTTTGGAAAAAAAGAAAAAGGTGCTGGTACCGTGTACCATTGACTACCACCAGAAAAAAAGTACTGGTATTAACTATCTTGCCCAGGCAGTTATTGGGTTGGCAAGGATAAAGTAAGGCACACACAAGCATTTTGTGTCCATGCATAATTAGCAATAGTACTAGAAACTGTGTTCCTGATAATGTTGCTTGTCAGTCCTGCCTACCCCTCATCCCTAACTAACCCCCTAAGCCACCCTACACTAACTTTTTAGATCAGGATTTGGAAACTTTTTGCTCCTACCTTATGGGCCAACTTTGACAGGCAGGTAGGGCATCCCAACATCAGAAGCTGAAACAGGGAGTGCAGAAAGGCTGGCAAAGCCCACCCTGTGTCGACCCTTTCAACCTTTTGTGATCCTCTTCTGTTTCTCTTTTGCGTCCATCCCTATGTTGAAGGTGCAAAGGTAAAGGATCACAAACCTTGGGATTTCAGTGGAGGAGCAGGGATAGCGGGACACCCCCCCAGCCCCACAACCACCATGAGATCCCCATACTGTCAGACATCTTGAGGCTCCAAGTGAATACATCTGAACACAAGTGTGTCATCCTTACTGAGTTTGTGACAATAAATGCAGTAGAGTTTGCAAGTTGATATGGAGCCTTTTATATGCTGGCCCCAAGGAAGTGGTGGGACCCAAGTAGCCACTGTGACTTACCTTGTGAGGCATTTTGAGGGTAAAATTGCTTGTATCTGCAAAGACCTAGATTCCACTATTCTGACTGGTCAGTTTCCAGGGCTGTCCAGAGTGATGTCTGGATTAGTGGATGAATTTTAGCTGCTAAGGTCTGAGGATGCAGTCCAGGTGCTCAGATAGGTGTGAGCTACTACCTGCCTTCTTGCCCCTTGTGACTGATAACACTTTGCAAGGAGGAGCCTGCAAACTGGGACAACGTAATAATTAATGCCCTTTTGAGAGAGCAGGAGTGGTCTCAGGCCACCTGAAAAATGTAGCAGTGAGGCCACTCCTTAAGTGGCCACTGGCCACTTGCAGGCATTATTTCATTAGACTGATTTTCCAGACCCATTTCAATCATCATCATCATCATCATCATCATCATAAACTTTTATTTGTATCCCGCCCTCCCCAGCTGAAACCGGGCTCAGGGCAGCTAACATCAAATATATAACATTGGTATAAAATCAAACAATCACTGTTCAGGCCTGGTTTGGACACCTGTATGATGGCATATCATGAGAGGAGGGGTGTCCTCTGACAAGCAATGAAATAGAGGACTGCCCTCTGTCAGGTAGGAGGCATTGCCATCCTGGTTGTTACAGAAGACAGGATTAGTAGGAGCACGAAGCAGATATTTATTAAATATTAGGAGAAGCTCCCTAACAATAACAGCTGCTTAACTGTGGAACAGCCTTCCTTGGGAGGAGATCAGATCTCCTTCACCAGACATCTTTAAAAAGAGGTTGGATGGACATTTGTCAGATGCTGGAGTTACATCCAGCATTGTAGAACCTGCATTAAGCGGGAAGACTAAATGACCTCTGAGATTCCTTCCAGGTTAAAGGTGCTGGTTTTGGTGCATAAAACCCCACACCTTGGGAACAGGATGCCTGAAAGATTATCTCATCCCTATATAGACCCAGTTCATGACTGCACTCTACAGGTGAGGGCCTCCTGTAGATACCATCTTACCCAGAAGTCTATTCTGCACAATTAAGAAACCAGGCGTTTAGTATGGTGGTACCAACCCTTTGGAATGCCCTTCCCTTACATGTTAGGCACCATCTCTGCTGCCTTTTTGGCACCTGCTGAAGACCTTCCTCTTCCAAAAGCTTTTTAAGTTGAAATCTTTCCAAGTCTGCATCTGTATTAGAACTGTCCAACACAGGATAGTGAAGGACCATAGCTCAGCAGCAGAGCATCTGATTTTGCATTCAGAAGGTCCCAGGTTCAACCCCTGCTGCTATCTCCAGGTGTGGCTGGGAGGGATCAATGCTGAGCTAGGTGGACCAATGGTCCTCTTAGTGTAAGGCAGTTTCCTCAAAGGACTAGAATCTTACTTTATCGTTAGGGGAAGGATGATAGCTGAGTGGTATAGCACACACTTTGCATGTGCAGGTTCAATCAAGGTAGGGCTTGGAGACTGACCAATCTGAAACCTTGGAGAGCTGCTGCCAGCCAGGGTCTGGTTCAGTATAAAGAAGCTTCTGGTGTTCTCCCCACCCCCAGAAAATAAATTGCTCACCATTTTGCTGCTCAGTTTTCTCCTCCTTCCCCACATCTTATTTCCTCCCCCACCCCACCTTGTCACATTGCATTATTTAGGGGGTGGTAATTCCTATTTGTTCTGACTCCTGTCTTCCTGTTGACTTTTGTTCCCCCCTTTAGCTAATCCCAAATTTGGGGGGGGGGGGGGCTTGCTACACACCCCTGCATCCCATTCTCTCTAAGGGTTTGTGAGTGTGGAGTGACTCTGCTAGAGCAACCCCACTTTTCCAGGAAAGAAAAGAGAAAGCCACAACAATCTCTTTGGAAGGGAGCGAAGGTAAGGAGGGGTGAGCAATCTTTTCACAAGCTGGTTGCAAAATCAAATCTGCCTTGAAGGAACAAGGCGGATTAGCAAGGACCGGGAGGTTGCCGACTTAACTCTACCCCCATGTTTCTTTGGTGTACCTGTCACTCAGAACCCTGCTGCTATGTACAATTAAACACAGCGGATAAAATAAAATAAAAACTCCTGTGAGACCCAAGGAAGGGGAGTGTGAAAAGCTTTAATTCCACTTTAATATCTTTCTGAGCTGAGGGTTCGGAAAGAGAGCAATTTAACCCATGAATTTCCATCAGGGCATATAAAAAGGATTTTAAAAACGCCCACATCTACAGGGAGTTGGATCCAGTGCTACTCCTACTCAGAGCAAACTCGCTGGTAATAAAGGGCATTGTTTTATTTATTTATTTCTTCAAATTTATAGGCCACTTGACTGTAACAAAAAAAGGAAGAAGTCCCCTCGAAGCTCTTTACAAAAACAATGAAATTTTCAGTGAAAAAAAAGTTAAAACCAAAAAATTAAAAACCTATGGGGGGAAAACATTAAAATAAACAATAAGCTAGGTAGGGATGATGGGAGGTGTAGTCCAACAACATCTGGGGACCCAATGTTAAGAAGCATTCATTCCCAGCCCTACCTGTATATGCTGGGGATTAAACCTAGAATCTTCTGCATGCAAAGTGGATGCTCTACCACTGAGCCAGGAGGGCCCTTCCCCTTCTGTAGTTCTTGTCTCTAGACCAGTCAGTGGCAAAGAAGAACCTAATACAAGGTTTATGCCTTTTATACAAGGGCATATTCCAGCCAGGCAAGAACACTCATTGAGGGTACAAATCAGGGCTGGTGAGCAATGTGGCTCAGAAGGGTATATGGCCCATGGAGAGTCCTGAGGACAGATTGGGATTGAGGGCCATATTGGATCCCCGGCTTGAGGTGCCCCAAGATGGGAGGATGTGCTTGCTGGTCACACATCTGATTAGGACAGGTGCCCACACAGAGCCTACACCAATACGTTCTGCATTCATACCTGCCACGAGGCATAGATTCATAAGCTGGAGAGTACTTTAGGCCCGTTAATTTGCATGGGTTTACTAAAAAAAAAGTGGTCGTGTACAACCAATGGGCATCAAAAGTAAGGGATTTCAGCCCTATGTCTCCCAGGTAAAAGCCATTTTTCTGAACCCCAGAACTCCTGCCCACCTCAACAAGTCCAGACATGTTGGAACTACTTAGTTGAAAGAAAAGGCGAGTAAGATGTGACATGATACAAAACTTCACAAGGCATGGAGAAAGTGAGTAGAGAAAGGTTTTTCTCGCTCTCTCTTAACACTAGAACTTGTGGACATCTTATGAAGCTGAATGTTGGAAAATTCAGGAAAGATAAAAGAAAGGACTCCACATAGTTGTTAGACTATGGAACTTGCTCTCACTGGAGGCTGTGATGGTGACCACCTTGGATGGCTTTAAAAGAGGATCAGACAAGTTTATGGAGGACAAGGCTATCAACAGATGTTACCCATGATGGAGGCCATGCTATAGCATGCCTTCAAATACCAGTTGCTGGAGACTGCAGGAAGGGAGAGTGCTTTTGCAATGATTGGGTCCTGCTTGTGAGCTTTCCAAGAGGCATTTGGTTGGTCATGATGAGAACAGGATGCTGGACTAGATGGGCCTTGAATGTGATCTAGCAGACTCTTCTTATCTTCTAATGTTATTATGAAGTGGGAACTCATTATTTTGCAAGGTTGGGGGCGGGAGGAATAGAAAAATGCTTCTTCGCTCTCCCAAGCAACAAATCAAGGAAGCAAAGTTTGCAGCCAAATGTCAGCTCCTCTCCCCGCCCCACAATAGCAAATCTCTGCCAGTATCTTCTTCCTGCACCCCACTGTTTTTATACGGAGGGAAGGCGAGGAGATGTAGCACATGAAACATTTTGTTTATAAAATGTCGACGCTTGTGTTTTATTTCCCTATGTTTCCCCCCTCCCTCCATACCCCCCACCCGCAATCTAGATAACGGATGACACCACCAAGCTTTCAGTGCCTTCCGCAATAATGCTGCCACAACAGCCTTTCGAGGGGTTATTAATAATAGATTGTGTTGATGAGTTTGGAATTTGGCAATAGACCCCCCACTGGAAAGACATTAACACCGCAGGACTAAGGAGTCCCTCCCTTGCAAATCAGCAACTAAATGGCTTCCTTGATGGGCTCTGGGCATGAGAAACTCCTGTACTGTGTCTCTGAAAACCAACATATGAAGTTATTTTGTTTTATTCAAGCTCCAACTCTCCCCTCTCCCTCTCTCACACTCCTCTTTTTAATGTTCCCATTTGAGAAGAAAGGGCTATTATAAATCCTGTCCATAAGTCATTCCCGCCACCCCCACCATCCTTCAAGACAAAACAAAAACATTAAGGAGTTATTAATTCTGTTAGAATTGCACTGAGGTTATTTTGGTGTAAGGCAAAGTAGGCTATTGTGGGCAGGGTCACGCTTCCAAAGGCTGCATCGCACTTTGGTGATTCCCCTGCGTAGGTTGGAAATAGCATCTGAGGCTCATGGTGATCTTTTTATTGTATGTGCAGGGAGTTAGATCCAGACTAAGACAGTTGCAGTTAGGTCTCATAAGTTAGGAATGAATTAAGTCTAACTGATTCCCACAGGGACTAAGTGCAACTCACCTACAGTGCAATCCTATTCATAGAAATCAGAAGTAAGTCCCATTGAGTTCAATGGGGTTTACTCCCAGGTAGGTGGGCACAAGATTACAGCTTTAGATTACCAAGGGACGCGGGTGGCGCTGTGGTCTAAAACCACAGAGCCTAGGGCTTGCCGATCAGAAGGTCGGCGGTTCGAATCCCTGTGACGAGGTGAGCTCCTGTTGTATGCAGCAAAATGTTTTACGCCAGCCATGGAATTGAGTCCCAAGCAATTCTACTACTAGTTTTGCCTTGATTTAGCTGAGAAACCTCCATAAACTTCTGTGGCTTCTTTGAAAGAAGAAGGAGTCATAAATAGAATACTGCACCCCAAATCTCACACTTTAATTTGACTGCAGCTTTTTGAGGATTATGTTCTCAACAGAAACAATTGCATGATTATAATATTTTTTAAGAAACCTCTCTGCATGTGATTGTTGGAGAATGCACTGAGCAAAGCCTTGCCTTCTCTCCTGCATGTAAGTGCCTTCATGTAGAAACTTTGTAGATTATATGCATTGGTGGGGTCTGACACCATACTCTGAAATACTCAGTTCTGCTCAGAGGAAAGAGACAGGGAGGCTTGGGATCCTAGCAGGGTTGAGCCCAGGCATCTAACCAAAGAGCAAGGTGAAACTGTGGCTAGATGTCTACATGGGAGCTGGTAGAAGTTAAATCCTTTGAAGACAGAAGTCCTTGGGCTGGGTCGAGATGATATGGGGTTGGGGGGCCAACTCCCATCCCTTGCGGGGGTGCAATTAGTGCTGGCGCCTTCCGTCAGGAGTTTGGGTGTCATCTTCAACACCTTCCTTTCTATGGAGGCGCAGGTTACAGCTATTATATAGGTGGCATTTTTTCATCTCCGCCAAGCTAAGCAGTTGGTCCTCTACCTCTCTCATCCCGACTTCGCCACTGTGATCCATGCGACGGTCACTTCCAGGCTTGATTATTGTAACTCACTCCACATGGGGCTACCCTTGAAACTGACCCAGAAACTCCAGCAGGTACAGAATGCCGCTGTGAGGCTCGTTACAGGGTCTGTGCCGTGGGTCCACATTCATCCAGTGCTATACCAGCTGCACTGGCTCACAGTGGAGTACAGGGTCAGGTTTAAGGTGCTGGTTTTAATCTTTAAAGCCCTATACGACCTAGAACCATTGTACCTATGGGACCCCCTCTCCTGGTATGTCCCATGAAGGATCTTACAGTCTGCAAATAACAACACCCTGAAGATTCTGGGCCCCAGGGAGATCAGACTGGCCTCGACCAGAGCCAGGGCCTTTCGGCCATGGCTCTGGCCTGGTGGAACACTCTCACAAGAGACTAGGGCCCTGTGAAATTTGATATTTTTCCTTAGAAAGATAGCATTATTCCACCCCTTTAACACTTGTGGAGAACTATAATTCATCAATGGTGCTGGGAACTTTAGTTCTGTGAGGTCAGTGTTGTTGTTTAATTTAGATTTCTTGATAATGCTTATTGCTTCAGTTCCTTTAAAACATGGCAAACCAACCCTGCTGGGTTTTTAGAAGGGGCTTGTACTAATTCTGTAGTTTTATCGATATTGTTTTTTATTTAACTATTGGTTTTATCTATATATTGAGAATCGTATTATGCCTACTTGTTTTATAACAATCTGTTGATGGTTTAATGGTATTTTCTTACTAAATCATTTTATGTAGTTGCTTACAGGTTGTTTGGTGTGTTTTTTTTAGAAATTGTTATTATTAAGCAGTAGTATACAAATCTTCCTAAGTAAATAAATTTTATTTACTTTATTTATAAAAACATTTATGCACCACTTTTCATATAAAAAGAACCAAAGTGCTTCACAGCAATTATATGTAGAATCATGCAATGCAAAACATAGAAAAATGTTAAATGTTTTCAAAACGTTAAAATCAGAAATCAGCTAAGTGTTATGGAAAGATGTATTATTAATTGTCTGCATAAGCCTGATGGAATGGAAAAGTTTTCAGCAGCCGTTTAAAAGTTGAAACAGAATAGGAAATAGCAGTAGCTAATCACACAGTAGAAGAGCAGAGACGCTGACCATTACTGAGTAGTTATGAATACTGAGTATTCTCTTATTTGACATCCTCCTTTTGCAAACCACCCTGCTGCCACAATCATTCTCCTTAGTCTGTATAGCAAATGACTAGACGGGGCAACAGTAGTGTCACCCAGAGAGAACATAACCTATCTAGTCAATACAATATTGTAACATACCATGGGACCTCTCGGTGAAGGGTGAGTAGGTAATGGATAACATTCAATTAGTAATAATATAATCTCCTCATGTTCTTAAGCAGGGGTCAGCAAACTTTCTCAGCAGGGGGCCGGTCCACTGTCCCTCAGACCTTGTGGGGGGCCGGACTATATTTTGAAAAAATAAATAAATGAACAAATTTCTATGCCGCACAAATAACCCAGAGATGCATTTTAAATAAAAGCTCACATTCTACTCATGTAAAAACACCAGGCAGGGGGCGGATTTAGAAGGCGATTGGGCCGGATCCGGGCCCTGGGCCTTAGTTTGCCTACCCATGTTCTTAAGACTTGTTTGTCACAAGCTAGTTACCTAAAAGAACCAGTGCTAAAACAATAATTGATAGTTTTGCGCAGTAGAATGCAAAAGGTATTTTTATTTCATAAAGAGGCCCATCATTCTGATACATAGACAATAACCCTTTCACAAGGAACCTGCCATAGCAACATTAAAAAAGAGAGGAGCAAATGCTATTGACGTGTATGGGCTACTTTTGCTATGTAATCCTAAGGTGTGGGCCTTTAAACCTTACAAAGTCTTCCCTTCCCCACAGTAATGCCTCTTCCACTTCAAATCTTCCTAATTATGCCACCACCATTCTGACTCCGCAGCAGGAAGTTGTGTGTGTGTGTGTGTGTGTGTGTGTGTGTGTGTGTGATGTACTTAAAGTCCACGAGCTTCCCTATTCAATCTACATTGTCCTCATTTATTTCTGTCACTGCCACCATGAGTGCTAGTAC